TCAACTTTGAGGGGGCCATGTTTCTATGACCTTGGATTTGACCTTGGAGGTCATGTTCAAGGTCATTTCAAGGTCAACTTTGTTTTTTTAAATAGGAACCCCCATTTTTGACCCCGGATTCGGAAAGAGCGGGAAATTTTACGTCCAAAACGGTATTTTTTAATTTTTTTTCATGGCCTTGAGAAGGTCGATTTAAGGTCAAATGCTTGAAAAACTGCATAAAAGCGTTTTTTTAATTTTTAAGATATCGAAAAATGACCTCTACAAAATTTGTTCAGAACAGAGTGGGCCACCCAATGCACCAAAAACCTTTGACCTTTAACCTCATTTTGAAGGTCATTTCAAGGTCGAAGTGTTTTTTGTAATGGAAACCCCTCTTTTTGACCCCGGATTCGCACATAGCGCGAAACTCAACACAATACCTTATCCAAACGTCGGATTTCGCGCTATGTGCGTATCCGGGGTTAAAAAGAGGGATTTCCATTACAAAAAACACTTCGACCTTGAAATGACCTTCAAAATGAGGTTAAAGGTCAAAGGTTTTTGGTGCATTGGGTGGCCCACTCTGTTCTGAACAAATTTTGTAGAGGTCATTTTTCGATATCTTAAAAATTAAAAAAACGCTTTTATGCAGTTTTTCAAGCATTTGACCTTAAATCGACCTTCTCAAGGCCATGAAAAAAAATTAAAAAATACCGTTTTGGACGTAAAATTTCCCGCTCTTTCCGAATCCGGGGTCAAAAATGGGGGTTCCTATTTAAAAAAACAAAGTTGACCTTGAAATGACCTTGAACATGACCTCCAAGGTCAAATCCAAGGTCATAGAAACATGGCCCCCTCAAAGTTGAGTAACTTTTGTCTGAAACTTTTTTCGATAAAACTCACTCCAATCTAGATATCTGAGTGGATCACTTAAAATGGGCCACCCTGTATATATATAGAGAGAGAGAGAGAGAGAGAGAGAGAGAGAGAGAGATAGTTAAATCAAATAATAGAGAGAGAGAGAGATTTCTAATAACATCATTTTTCTTAGATGTTTTTCCTATGTCAGCAGCCAACTTTGGGCTATGGTATGCATGACTGTTATATCGCTAAATAAAAGGGAAAAATTTTATTTGAACTATTAAGTCATCGAGAGATGCTGCTCCAAGTCCAGTTATGATTTCTCAATGATTTAGTTTTTAAATTTCCGATAACATTGATGTCTTAGACGCTTTTTCTGTGCCAGCAGCTTACTTAGTACGAGTATCAAGGTATCATAGATTATCATACCAAGTTAGGATAGAGCATTCATATCGCTAATTATAAGAGGGAAAAAATTAGTTTGAACTATTTAATGATTTCAGAGATGTTGTTCGAAGCCTAGTAATGATTTTTCTATGATTTAGTTTTCAAATTTCCTATAACATCATTACTCTTAGACATCTTTCTATGTAACTTATGAGTCCTGTCGTATGTAACTCTTTATTTGGTCTCAAAGTTCCGTCTGAATGCCGAAACTTCCGCGTGTAGTCTGAACCTATGCTCAAAGTGCCGCTCGAGTACCGTGGAAGTTTGAGACATTGCTTCAAACTGCCGGATTTGCCTCAAACTTTCGCCTGCAGGAGAAGATATTGTCTCAAAGTTCCGCCTTCGTATAAGTATTCGCTTATATAATACGTTTCGTATCGATGTGCATGCCCCTCCTCCGGGAGTTTTTAGCTATAGTTAACAAAGTGACTGATGTTCTCCTGAACGTTAACAACTGGTAGAGCAGAGCTTTTATATGTCGGATTATAGCTACTTCGGTGGTGCTTATATACTTTTGCATCTTTTTTTGTATTTATTAATATATAAAACGTATCATAGTTGCATTCTTTAATTGTGACAGATGCTTATGTGTTATTATATAAAAAGCATAGATAATTTTTATAGTATCCATTTTTTCATTATCTTATAGCAAAATGAATTTCTTTTTAAACAGAATCTTAACTTGCAATAGTGTGGAGAGATAAGGATTGGGAACACGTTCGGGTTAAGTTAATAGAGATTATTTTGAACTTATATTTATTAAAAGTTACATACAGCGTTACATTATAAAAATTCGGTTATATAATTGAATAAAAAATATTAGGACATTGGAGAGCATATAATGTTCAGGCCAGATACACCCCGTTTCCACCACCAGGCCTTCTTCTGGGGGAGCGTACTTTATCGCTGGTTCGCATTGGAGGCATCGTTTCCAGTGAGCGGTGTCCTCATCGCAGATTCGGCAAGACGTTGCTGGAGGTTTCCCGAGCCCTTTTCAGTCAAAGTCTTCCTCAACAAGAAACCGAGTGTGGAGGTGGCCGAAGGTTATTTCTTTGTCTAGGTACCTGAGCATTTGATTGTAGTCCAGGTGGTCGTATCCTTCTTGTTTATACGAGGGTAGGTCAATAAGTCCTTATAAAAAGAGAAAAAAACAATTTTTATTTGGTAGATTTTTTTATTTTTCAACATAATCGCCTTTTAGCTCGATACACTTTTTCAGGCGTCCTTTAAGTTTTTTTAAGCCATCAGAAAAATAAATTTTGGATGTTCTTCAAAATAGCAATTTGTTTGTGTTATGACCTCCTCGTTCGAGATGAATCGTTGTCCGTCAAACCACTTTTTTAGGTTTGTGAATAAAAAAAGTGACTAAGGGCCAAATCTGGTAAATACGGAGGATGGTCTACTAATTTGAATTTCAGTTCCTTAATTTTAGCCATTGAAACTAAGCAAGTGTCCACTCGTGCATTGTCTTGATGAAACAGAATTTTTTTTCGTTTCAAATGAGGACGGTGTTCGTTTATTTTGTCGCTTAATTGGTCCAACAACGACGCATAATACTCTCCGATGATTGTTTGTTCTTTTTCTAAATAGTCGACGAAGATAATTCTTTGAGCATCCCAGAAAACAGCAACCATAACCTTGCCGGTCGTTTTCATTGTCTTCGCCTTCTTTGGAGCTGGTTAACCTTTCACAATCCACTGTTTTTACTATTTCTTCGTCTCAGGAGTGTAGTGGTGTATCCATGTTTCGTCTATAGTTATGAATCGACGCAGAAAGTAGTCCGGATTACGGTGGATGCGCGTCAACAGGGCCTCAACAGCCACCACTCAACTGCGTCTATTCTCGACTGAGAGCACACGCGGTATCTATCTTGCCGAAATTTTTTTCATCTCCAATTTCTCATGTAAAATAGAAATGATTATACCTTTTGAAATCCGAATCTTGTGGCCTCAACTATTTCTGTCAATTTTATTTTTCGGTCACTCAACACCATGTCATAGATTTTATTGATCATTTCCGGAGTGCTCCCGTCTACAGGATAGCCTGAACGATGTTATTCTGCAGTCGATATACGACCACGTTTGAATTCATTTACCATATTGTAAACAGTTGCGAACACAGGGACAGATACACCATGAACTGCATCTACTTCAGTTTTTATTTTTTTCGGTGTAAGGCCTTTTAAATAGAAATGTTTCATCACCGCTCGGAACTCACTTTTTCCATTGTTAACAAGAAACAAAAGTTGTTCACTTTAATCGACGATAAAAACGGAACTACTCGATGAATCTAGCTGAAATTTCGGCTGCACTCCATTTAATAGTAACGCTTGCTAGTACAATATAAGTTGGGATGCGTATTAACCCACCCTCGTATCATGAATAAGTGACGTGTCGCATCCGAACGTGACAACATTAATCATATGCTTCTGTAGTAGTAATATTACTTTATTGAAAGATATTAATTAATAAGTGTTAGACGGATTGGCATTTTCAAGGGCAGGTGCAACAAATTAAACAGTCAATGAACTCGAAAGGTGCTTTTATTCTGAACACCAAGAGCGCTCAAAAAGTAGTGCCTCGGAGGACATACTCGTGGACGGAGACAGTTGCTGGCTCATGCGCTATCCCCACATGAGCACATACATGTACAAGATATTTAACAATAAAATATTACATTATTATCTTACATGGAAATTTGCTTGATAATCAATTGTTACCTTTGGCTTTATAGTAGTCACTCAAAATCATAAAATGTATTTAAATAAAATAATAAATCTAAGATATCTAAATGTAGATATAAATTTCTTAATGCTCGTGTATTATAGCTCAATAAATAGACTTATTTACTCTAAATTGCACTCAAAATTTCGGGAAATGTGGAATAGCAGAATTGAAAACAGTTTTTGGTATATACGTAGTGAAGCCAATTGCACATTTTGAGTTTAAGCAGAGCCCTTTATTTCCAAAATAAACTATCAAAACCCTACCTTGAATGGGGGCGACTAGTAGAAAAGAAACTACAAAGAGCGAGTGAGCATGCGTAGTAGTCCAGTTAGTATACGTTATTTATTAACAATAGACAGAAATGGATTCACATTTTTAATTTTATAAATAATTAATAAACTATCAATTCTTATTACGAGCAGTATTATTTCATTAAACGAACTATCGGTTGACTTGTTTGTTATTTTTTTGAGAGTACATTATTTACCCATATACATCAAATTAAGTAGAGCACTGGCTGCAAGCGTACAAAATGCTTTATTTATTGTTTAATGAATTTGTTGTGAACAAACAATCAAATTTTATAGTTTCATTAATAAATAATCTAATTCTGTAATTAACTTTACGATTATATAAAGCAAAAGATTATAGGCGCTAACTTTTAAAAAATACAATGTTAAAAGATCTTCCAGCTAGTGTTTCTTTTATTTTATTGTTATTTAATTATTAATACTGAAACTAATTATTGAATATTGACTATTGATGAATATAGATATTTCAGTCATTGTTGCCAAATAAACGGAGTTCGAAGAACATGCATAAACCAGGATTTCCGATCGAAAAATCTTCCCCAGGATCCCAGGGTCCTGGACTGAATCGCAAAAAATAGTGAAATATTTTGTAGGGACTCTAGGAAATATTTTTCGATCGGAAACCGTTGTATAAACTTTGACAATTTTACCGCGATGGGGCGCTGGAATCAGTATATCCAACCTGGCACGCTTTAATGATTGTGGTCAGTCATCTTCAAATAAGGTTACTTTTAGCATGGATCCTGTCTTCGTATTGTTCACTCTTTTTCGATAATCTGTGGAACTGTTCAGGTGCGTTTTGAATAAATTGTTTAAGTAATCTGTAATCATCAAAGTAATAAAATATTGACTAGTCTGTAATCTTGTAGAATATGCTTTTTAGTACTTTAATGATTCATATTATCGGAAAATTTTTCAGTTTCTAATAGTACAAAAAAAATAACTAAGCTTTTCCATGTGTCATCAATATGAACAACGTGTGTTTATCATTGAACGTTAAAAACTTATAATAAACTTATTGTACTGTTTACATTTTGAACCAATTATTTCTGTATACCACGTAGTTAGTATTCTAAGATTTTTAATACATTGCAATCAGTGCATTTAATTGTTACAGATTTTTATTCTAAATTGCATTTGGTAAACTTGATTGCTTGAATTTTTTGTCACATAATACATATAAGTTATGTGTAACTTTGAAAGTTAGATAAATTTTATTTTTTTTAAATCAATGTTTTTTATGATTTCGGATTTCCATTTTCAGTAACTTATTGCAATGGTGAAAATCATGAAAATTGGGAAAGTTGTACTGGTCCTAAGTGGACGGTATGCTGGTAGAAAAGCTATTGTGATGAAAAATTATGATGATGGGACTACGGATAAGCAATATGGTCATGCATTAGTAGCTGGCATTGATAGATATCCTCGTAAGGTCCATAAGCGAATGGGGAAGGCAAAAATACATAAGAGATCCAAAATAAAGCCCTTTGTGAAAGTATGTAATAATTGCATTAATAAATTCAAAATATATTACAAATAAATATTTTATTAAGTAGTTATATTTTCTTAACACAATGATCGATTTATTTTCATTTAAGTTAGTTAATAAAAATAAATAAAATAAATCTAGATTAACTTTTTAAAACATTAACTTTTTAATTTTTTTTTAATTATTAATATTACGTGATGCTTTAGGTTTTGAATTATAATCATTTGATGCCTACAAGATACACAGTAGATCTCCAACTGGATAAAATAACACCAAAAGAATTAAAAGATCCAATGAAACGAAAAAAAATTAGATTTCAGACAAGAGTTAAATTTGAAGAAAGGTAAGAATCAAATTATATAACAATGCAAGTTATTATTTCAATAAATCTATTACTTAAACAAATAGTAAAAAAATTACAAGATCAAATCGACATACTAAATTTGGTTATTTGCCATTTCTTGTTTTGTTATTTATTGTGATAATATCTAGTTAAAAGAAAAGTCTATTATGAATTATTGGATTTAGTCTGTTTTTTGAGTATTAATTATTTATATCTGAAGCAAAGGTAATTATTGTGAACATATTTAAAAATTTTTGCAAAGTAATAGTATGAATATTTAAAACTGAAAATTTTTTAAATTTTTGAAGTCATTGGATTCCAATAAAATATATTCTGATAGGCAAGTAGTTATTTTGATTAATTTACATTAGCTTATTTATGAAGCTTGATAGAGGTAATGATATTACCTCCATCAAACTATAAACATGGCAGTTTTATTTTTTATGAAGTATCATTTTTATTGCAACATGCTTACATCTATTTCAATGTATAGAGATTTTTATAATTTTATGATTGATGAATAATTTTTGCAGGTACAAGTCAGGTAAAAACAAATGGTTTTTCCAGAAACTTCGATTCTAATTTTTCAATCAATAAATAATAAGATTGAAGTTGTTGTATGTTATTTATTACCTTCTCTATTTTTTTTAATACACAAAAGAACATTTCTAATTTTTATTGATTGATAATACTATTTGTCTCTTCTTAATTTGTATAAGATAAAATTGCTTTGCACTAGTTGTAGTTATTAAGGTAATTCTTTTCTAATAAAATGTTTTTCAATTTCAAGTAACATTGAACAATAGATGAGAATTCTGTCAACAATAAAAATATTCAGAATATTTTCTGGTTTGGATATGCTTATTGGCACAATTATACACTACACCATAGATCTCTTATTCTAAATCTTAGAAACAATTTTTATGTTCTAATTACTATTTAATATTATCATTTCGTATAAGTGTAAGATTAAGTATATGCAAAAGTTCAATTGTACAGAATGAACTGTATTTTCAATAGAATAAATTAAAATCTCATATCTTGAATAAGAAAATTAGAGGGTAATTTTTTGAAAATAATCTAAATCAACAATAATCAATAAAATACAATTTAATGAACTATTAACATTGGAAAAATAGTATCTGTAGTTCCAAAACTTTGACTGAGTTAAGCTTATATTCTCGTTATTACATTTCTTATTTCTCATTCAAAGTGCAAATGATACCAAAAGTTTTGTTAACTATTAGAGTTTTATTGATATAATTTAGACCATAGAAATAAACTTAGAAGTGATAATACATGCATTTGAATTGATTGAATAAATTTAGGATTTTAATAGCAATTTTTCTAGCGATAATTCTTATTTAGTGTTAATCAGTGATGGTATATGTGAGAGAATATCATTAGTAGTTGCCTAACTGATACAATAGAATGAAATAATTGTCTAGTCAGAAGAGTTAGTTTAGAAATGAATATAAATGTGTTGTATTATATTATAATTGTAATCAGTATTTAATTATATTGTAATACAATACAACCGAGTTCACCAATTTTATTAATGTTTCCAAAATTATGCTAGATACTTATACTATTTATTACTACTTGATACATATAAGGAATTTAAATGTCTTCATAACAAATATTTTTTAAGATTAATTTTACAAGTGCTCAAGGTTTTGTTAGAAATTTTTTCTGACTCCAAAATAGTCATTAACAGGATAACAAATGAATATATATTTTTTCAAAGTTTATTTTCATAAAGCATTTTTGATATTCAGTACTGGATTGTTAATATTAAAAGGTATGACATGAGTACACTTATGTTAGGCTGTTTACAGTAGGATTAAGACATTTAGAAATGACTAAATTATGACACGATCAGAGGCGATCGATGCGGATAAGACCTGAAGGCCTATTCTGAAAAAAAAATTTAGAACATGTTATTTTCTCACCATTCAGCTTATTACTGCGATAAAAGAATCGTTTCGTTTTTCGTTTCGTTTTAATGGCCGTGGGTGCCTGAGGACTCCGATGCGCCACAATTCAAATTGGAGAAATAAACTTTAAAATTTAAAAGAGTTTTAAAGTTTTTATTGGTAAGCAGAATGTATAAAGAGGAGCTAAGGGGATGTAGGAATTATTTTGTGAAGTATATGTGGAAAGGATGGTATGATAATGATTGATTTTAGGTATCGGTAGTATAGGTGTTTTGATTTTTTGATATAAGAATGAGGATGTGGAGTGTTGAGATTGAAGTATAATATGGTATTGGCGAAAGTAGAATTATATAGAAAAGTTGCATTGTTTTAAGAAATCTGTTATAATTTTGGGAGTTATTTCATTTGAATTAACTAATAAATTTTTGATTCAATAATAAACTAATTAACTAGTAAATTTTTGTAGTTAAATGTGTTTGATTTAGAATTTTTGTATTTAGTTTTGTACTTATGTTTCTATATCTATTTATATAGCTAGATTATATATAGCTTCAGTGTTTTCTTTTATTAAATTATTAAAATTTTGATCTAAATTTAGATATTGAAGTATACGAGAGGGGGGGGGGGGGTCAATAAGTCTTTACAAAAAGAAGGAAAAAAAAGTTTTGCGTATGTAATTTTTTTATTTTTCAACATAATCTCCTTGAAGGTCGATACATTTTATTAAACGGCCTACCAGATTTTTTAAGACGTCAGAAAAATATGATTTCTAAAATCCCTCAAAATAAGCATTTGTTTCAGCGATGACTTCTGCATTCGACGTGAATCGTTGTACGGTAAGCCATTTTTTGAGGTTAAGAAATAAGAAAAAGTTACTGGGAGTCAAATCAGGCGAATATGGTGAATGGTCAATTAATTCGAACTTTAAATCGTTAATTTTTGCCATCGAAACTGCACACGTGTGAACTCGAGCATTGTCTTGAAGTCAGAGGTTTTTTTTTTGTTCAAGTGAGGACGTTTTTCTCTAATTTTTTCTTTCAGCTAACCTAATAATGACGCATAATATTGTCCAGTGATCGTCTGGCCCTTTTCCAAGTAGTCGATGTAGATGATTCCATACGCATCCCAGAAAACCGTGGCTATAATCTTGCTAGCTGAGTTTACTGTCTTTGCCTTCTTTGGAGCTGGTTCTCCTGCGGTAATCCATTGTTTGGACTGATCTTTGGTTTCAGGAGTGTAGTGGTGTACCCATGTTTCGTCTACAGTTACGGGTCGACGCCAAAAGTCTTCCGGATTACGACGTGAGGCTGTGAGTGCGGGGTGAAATGAACTTTTAGTTGGTGTAAGAATAACTTTATTTAATCCAAACTAAGATTTACAAATATAACGCGACTCGGCAGAACGTAAACCGCGAAGCTGGCAGAAGGCCGAGCTGTTAGCTAGTTTCGAGTTCAGGCTAGAGTGTCTAAAACTCGCCCCAGCTACTTGGCGCTTCTCCTCGGAAAATCCCGTGAAAAGGGCAAGTCTCTCCCACGAGGTCCGTGAAAAGGGTAGCTGGGACCGCGGGTTAACATTAAAAAACGAAGGTTAGGCGTGCGCTTTCCCTTAAACAAACTCATTAACGCGGATACGCGACCGTCGACGTTTAATGTGTTTATTGCAGTCTCCAGTAATTCGTTCAAGATTTATGAAGTTTTTTAGCATAAAACGGTAAACTTCTGGCCAACACGTGGAGGGAAAGTGCACGCCATATCACCCCCTTACCAGTGGTAACGCTGAACTAGAATTAAAACTGTTCTATCATCAAGGTACGCAAACAAACAAACTATGAAAAACCAGCTTGGTAACGGTCTGGAAAATGAACATTTCGTCCAGAACGAGTGGTAAAGCGGTTATTGTTAGCAGGACATGACTGTTGAACATTAACAGGTGCTTCGTTATTATTATAATTTATGTTGTGTGGTCCAAGATGCTCCGCATTATCAGGTGCAGGAACGATTTGAATCGGAGGCGTATCTTTATCACAATTACGTTGTATTGCGATATCGTAGTCCACTTCGTCGTAGCATTCACGATTACATTCTTTATTTACATTGTTTTCAATGTCATGGTCTGTAAAAATTGTAAAGTTTCTACCTTCCACCATATGTCTGAAACGTTTAACCGATTTGTAAATCGCGTAAAGTTCTCGATCATATGCACTGTATTTACGTTCGGTCTGCGTTAAAGACTTTGTGTAAAAAGCTAAAGGTTGCCATGCATTATTCACGCGTTGTTGTAAAGCACCACCAACGGCAAAATCCGAAGCATCTACGACAATGTTGATGGGCGTGCCAGGAGCAAGGTGCGCAACCATTGTTGCTTTAGCGAGAGCGCTTTTTGATTTATTGAAAGCGTCACGAGCTTCGTCGGTCCAGTTTACGGGTTCTTTGCTTTTCCTCACGCCAGTTAGCAAATTGTTCAATGGTTAAAGAATAGCGGCGGCGTGAGGTACGAATCTACGATAAAAGTTAAACATGCGAGATAACCGCGGAGGCTTTTAATCGTAGATGGCAGCGAATACTTAATGATCGACTCGACGCGTTTTTCCATAGGAGCGATGCCGTTAGCATTAACTTTGTACCCGAGAAAAGTTATTTCGCTTTGACCGAACACACATTTTTCGGGATTAACTACCACACCATACCCAGAAAAACGATCGAACAAAATCTTCAAGTGCTCGAGATGTTGCTTCTCATCATCCGATGCGATCAAAAAATCGTCGATGTACGCAAATACAAAATCTAAACCGGGTACAATCTCGTCAACAAAACGTTGGCACGTCTGCGCAGTATTTCTTAGACTGAACATCATCATAAGCGGCTCGAATAATCCGAAAGGCGTTGTAAGCGCTGCTTTTTCGGTGTCTTCCGGTGCGATGGGAATTTGATGAAACGCGCACACGAGGTCAATTTTCGAAAATACCTTTTTGCCGTGTAGATTATATGCAAAATCTTCGATGTGTGTAGTTGCCTGCGACGGTGCGTTCGTTGATGGCGCGATAAACGCCGCATGGACGTAGGCTTCCGTCCTTCTTAGCAGCAACGTGGAGTGGCGTCGACCATGGGCTCTTCGATGGCCGCATGTAAACTTGCTGCAATAGCATATCGAATTCGGCTTTTACCACCTTCAGCCGATCAGGTCTAATGCAACGAGGCTTTGCACGTATTGGCGGACCAGGCGTCGTCTTGATGTGGTGCTGTACTCGGTGCTTGAAAACTTTCCGAAAACTTCGCGGGCGCGTGAGGTCTGGGTACTTGGCCAAAAGCTCGTGATACGCAGAGGCATCGATCACTGTTTTAACTGACGTCTTTCCTCCCTCGGACGAGATTCCGCGCACTGACAAACCTGTGGTATTATCGATTAAAATTTTTCTTTTTGGATCGATTAGCAGGCCATAATGCTAGAGGAAATCCATTCCGATAATCGCGGAACTCACGTCGGCGATGACGAACGGCCAGTTAAACTCGCGGCGTAGCGATAGATTAAGACTTAAGGGCACGATTCCGTAGGTGCTGATTGTAGATCCGTTAGCAGCAAAGAGTTCGTAAGCACTTTTCTTCGTTTCCTTGGCAAACCATTTTCACGGATATACGCACAAATGAGCACCACTATCCACGAGGAAAGATTTATTTGAATTAAAGTCTTTCATATGAATTCGGCGATGCGCGAAGTCGTCAGAACTCGCCGCGTTTACTGACGGCACGCG